CCCCAAAACCCCAAAACCCCAAAACCCCAAAACCCCAAAACCCCAAAACCCCATTCAATCTCGGTGAATTGAGATTTTAGTGAAATGATAGCTTTTGCTTTTTTATGAACGACTGCCCATAGCCTGGTCCTTGAGAGTATCCCCTTGTTAAAGTCTTCTATATTAGCAGAATAAACACTTATTTAGAGAAATAAATATGGAATTATGCCCTACCTTTGGGTGCATTGAAGAGAAGAAATTATTTGTAAGCACATTTTTTGGAAACACTTTATCCACTAATCTACTAAGATTCACATATTTAGGTGCCTCATGCTTATATCCTGAATACATTGTTTTGAAATTATTCTTTCTTGAGTCTCTAGATTTTTGAAATATTTGCTTTGAGAAAATATCAGGCTCAGCTTTACTCTTATCCACTATACCAAATATAAGTAGGGTAATAATTAATAACTTCTTATGCTTGGTTTCTTAATTCTTTTGATCTAATTAGACTTTGCCTTACCTTTCAAGACATAAGTTCTGAGGTAATGCTCATAGTCTGAAGACACTTCCTTTGAAATATTTGTGCTGAGCTTACAGCTGGTGCTTTCTTTCATGATGTTCTTCTTGCTATAGATTTTCTCCAGAACTTTTTCCATTTTAGCACACTTCTCAATCTGACTGTTAAGGTCTTTTCTCTCAGTCTCAAGAGCATCGGACTGGTCTTCAAGATGTGAATGAATTTCGAGCAATCCTCTTCGAGTCCCTTGAATGTTCATCGAGAGATTTTCACGGAAACTGACATTATCTTTGTACAAGTTATCCTTTAGACTGGAAATTAGTTTATATTCTAGCTTAACCTTTTCTTTTTCAGCAATTACTTTATCTCTTTCCTTAGCAGTGAAATCAAATATTTCTTCTATTCTATGATTAATTGGGATATTGGGCTCTTCAAGTAGCCCATTTTTATAAGTGTTATCATTAGCTGAGAACCTGACACCCACTTGTCTATTTGGTGGTGAAATCTTATCGATAGCATCAGTTATTTCCTCTACAATTTTTGTAGCCCGTTTCTTGGACCTTCCTCTGGTCTTGGTTTTTGCCTTCTGTTGATGAATCATTTCTCTAAGTCTTTCAAGCCTTCTCTTCTTTACATCCAATTCTTCCTCTAAGGTTCTGACATTAGTATCCTTAACTGGTGAACTTCGTGTATTAATGGAGTCTAACTGGAACTGGAGTTGAACAACTTCATCTTTGGTGTCCTTGGCTTCCTTTTTCTTACGTATTTTGTCATTTTCCAAATCTAGGATTCTTTTATTTAATTCCTTAAGTGCATCTTTGGCTCTGTTACCGCTGCTTTGAATTTTTCTCTGACTTTGTAGGTTCCTAAAAATCATTACTTAATTTCTAATAAGTAATAATTACTTGGAAAGCTTCCTTTCTATTTCGGAAGTTTCTGCTTTGATCTTTCTTGAAATTTCCAGCTTGTAATCAGCTAATCTCTTCTGTGATTTATTGCTAAGCTCATTTTTCTATGGAATCGTTCAGGATAATTACCTTCTCTGTAAACTCTTTATGATGAGCTTCCTCCTGTAGTTTTGTGCTATTTACTTATTTCATCCTTCTGCTTCTTCAGCAAATCTAGAGTAAGGAAAGTGGCTTACCGAAATTAGTCTTTTCAAGGTTTCGAAAATCTTTGAGGTGAGCTATCTCTAATTCTTTTAGCTTTGTATTTTCTTTTCTAGCAAATTGTGTTTCTAGAGAAAATTCAGTTAAAAATTGTACCTAATTTCTGTTTTTCTGAAGTATTTTTGGAGTACTTAGCTTTCAGATTTGCTTTTTCTTTAGATAACTTGGAAGCAAATTCTGCTTCAAATTTCTCATGAATTTGTTGTTCTATTAATGAGCATAACAACTTACTCTCTTGAGCGGTCACCTGGAAATCTTTAAGACTACTCTGATCCATAACTTTGCCTTGAGCCATATCAATGATATTGTCTGCTTCTTTTTCAGCCTTTAATTGTTCTGCATCAATATATTTCTCATATTTCTCCTCTATGATTAGAGTTAAAATGTTACCAAGTGATTCCTTTTCCTCTTTATGCTTTGTTTCTATCATTTGAAGGAGGTCTTGATGATCTTCCTATAAGATAATCAATAAGCTTCTAGAGATTTGTGAGCTTACATTTAGGTCCGGCTTATAATCCTCTGTTGATAGATCTACTGAATGATTTAACGAAATTACTCTCTCTCCATTCTTTGAGATCGGCATCGAGTTTTGACTGAAGCTTGCGCATTTCTTGTCTGAGCTTTACAGAGTACTCTTTTTTGACTTTATTTCGAACCCGGTCCATGTTCTCTTTCTTTGCTGCTTTGCTCAGCTCTTCTATTTGTTGCTGCTTTAGATCTTCCATTATCTGGTTAAGCTTGTCTAAAGGTTACTAGGGAGAAATACCGATCCGTTCATCCTCGTACTCGTTGATGTCTGGGATTTCTGACTCTTCCTCTTCAAATTCAATCTGGTCTCTGGCTGAAGCATTATAGTTTTCGGTAAATTCAATCACATCTTGGTTGACATTGCTCTGAGAATTTTTGACTGGAGAAACCTGTGAATTGACTAACAATGAGCTCTAAAAATACCATATTCTGGTTGATAAGTAGGCTGAATCTCTTGAATTATTTTATCTTCCTCCTCCGCAAGTCTTTGCTGCTCTAAAATAAATTTAATTTTGAATTACTTACCTTCTTGAATCATCCTCTCGTGAATTCTCTGTTCTTTATTTAGCCTTCTCTTCATGATAGAGATCTTTATAGTATTCATCGCAAGGGTGTTCTTGGATTACTTCACCAGATTCAAAATTGTAAAAATAAAGTTCTCCCTCCGCATCTTGGACTGGTTTCCAAGGGTTTGGTAGAGGAGCTTTAAGACCTTCCTTGGCAATGTAGAAGAACTCATGGTCGGTGTTAATATCCATTCCCAAAAACTCTGCATATTCAATGATCTCTTGGTCGTCCGGGTTGTAATTATTAGCTATCTCTTCCTCTAGGATGACTGCTGGCATCCCATTTATCATGATACTCATTTAAATTTATAATTTTGAGGATAATGGGGTTTTGGGGTTTTGGGGTTTTGGGGTTTTGGGG